CAGGAATCGGCAAAGATCTGATCCTTTGGACTTGAGAGAAGGTCCTTACATTTACCAGGAATCCATTATTGAGAGTTATGGGAAAGCCCATGATACCTTTGTCTCAGAGACAATGGGGTGGTTTTCTTACTGGGCTAGTCACAACAGGGGCAGAAAACTCAGCAAAAATTTCCATCTTTCCATTGTATTCCTTCACATGGATAATAAATCATGAGCAGAGCAGCCAGCTTCTCTGTTTTAGGCATCTTTTGAACATACTGGTTTGGGCTCAATATTTATGCTAAAATAGATTGTGCCATGGAGATTAATAATGAAAATGTACTCAGTTATCATAGTTTTAGCAAATGACAACTCTAATTTTTAAAAATAATTTTTGTTAAACTTAACAGTAGTTAATGGTTCTCTCTACCAGTGGGCAGTATAGCTGATACTAAATGTTATTCCGAATTTTAACATTAGTTTCCCAAATATAGTATTGTTATTCAAAAGAGCTATATATTTTTGTTAAAATGTTAGGATTATATTCCATTTAGCATTATTTTAGCAAACAGTATAAAATTTTAAACTAGGACATCTTTTTCTTCTTTTTATTGAGGGGAGAGGGGCATCCTTTTACCACTATACTTTCCTCAAACTGTACAGCTTTAAAATTTTCTTTTCAATAATTGTTTTCCTGCTCCTTAGATAGTAAGTCCCTTGAAAGTTTTATACATTCAAGCACAGTTGAAACATCCTATTTTGTTTTCTTCTCTAATTATTATAGCTTGAAATATAGTATTGTAATTCTTAAATTGCCTGCATTGTATACTGTTAGCCTCTTAACATTCTTGAACAATGAACGCTTTTACTGGATTTTCTTCTTCTTAGGCAAAATTATGCATATAATAGAGAATCAAGGTCCTATTTAAGTCATTCATCTGTAGGTCTGTCTGGTAACAAACTTGCTTAAACTACTTTACACTTTTTTAATTTATAAAGGCAAAGATTTTAATTATTTTAACATAGATTTTTTAAGTTTAGTTGGACTGTTCCCAAACCATTGGTATAATTATTAGACTCCTGGGGTATCTTTTAATGGTTTTAAAATTCTTTGCATGTCTATTTTAAGTGTAAATTCATCCTTCTTTAGAAGAAAAGATGTGGAGTGGGCTGCTACCTCCTGGCCTAAATGAAAGTGATGTTGAGTTGAATTCTGAAGATGAAGACATATTGGAGAACAATGGACTTGACTTAAAGGAAGATAAAGAAGATGGGACCATTACAAAAACAGAGCTCTCAGATTTCCCTAAAGATGGACCAAAAACTGAAGCAGAGTCAAATTTAAATGCGTATGAAGAGTGTCCTTCTGGAATTCCCTTACATATGTGGAATGTAGGTTTTCTCCAATGTGTTCTTATTAAAGCCTGTTGTTTGTACATGCTCCTGTGCCTCTGTGCCGTGTAAGAATGTATATGTTCTTGGAAGGTGATAGGTAGGAAAAATTGGCTCAGAATTCTTTTATTAATCTGTAGATCTGTGGTCAATCTATTGGCCACTCAGAGACTTGCTTTCTTTTCTTTTTCTTTTTTTTTTTTTAATAAAAGAGGAAAACATTTAGTAAGATTAACTACTTTGCTTATCCTGACACAGGAGAAGTTTTTATCTTAATTTTAGCTTTTTTTTTTATCTGTACGAGTCCTTGAATTTTATTCTCAGATTATTAGATTGACTTATTTAGAAATAAAGACCTCAGGTTGTGAAAGAGTCTTGAACAGCATCTCAAGAACTGAACTATTTTCATTAAATTTATATGTTTATAAATGCTAGAATATTTTTTTTATTAACATGTTGAGTGTATGCTTTGCTTCAAAATATATTTGCTTTTTTTTTTTGTATAGAAATTTCAAGAATTGCATAAAAAACATTCTGAACAGAAAATCTCATCTTCAAGATTCAGGAAAAAAAGAAAACGCTCTAAAAAAGGTGTTTTGTTTTCATTCATGTTAATTGTCAATAGTGCTAATGTTAAACTGTGACTAATTGAGCTCAATAATTTTTAATAAACATAATTTTGAAATAACCAAATACTTAGGTATAAACACTGTGAATTCTTTCCAGGTAAATTGAAGAATGAAGAAGAATCTCATAGGTAGGTAGAATTAAAAATATTTGTCTATTTTAAACAGTATTGTAAAATTTGTACAAGTAATTGAACTACTTACCTCTGAAACCTACCAAAGAACTGGTTGTTATAATTGTAGTAAGCAATTAAAAACAGTAAAAATAAAGATGAGTATATTTTGTATAAAATTTTGTCTGTCTGCTTGTAGAGAACAGACTTCAAGTCAAACACAGTGGAAGGAACTTACTCAGTATTTTGGAGTCAATGATAGGTTTGAACCCCCTGTTAAAAAGAAAAAAATTGACAAGGTAAGATTTTTTTTTTATTGCATATTACCCAGTAGGAAGTGTTTGTAATTAGCCTTGCCTAAGGCATTTCTCCTCATTCATTAATTCAGTGAAAAAGTTTGGCCTACCATGTGCCAAACAAGATGCTATATAAACAAATATACAGTAAATACAAATCGTTGAGAAAAACTGTTAAGGAAACGAGCAAAGTATTGTCAGAAAATTCAATGGAGGCTCCATGTTAGCTTGTGTGGTCAGGGTAGGGCTTTCTTAGAAGATGCCATTGCATCAAGACTGGAAGGATGGGAAGGAACCATCTATATAAAGAATGCTAGTGAGATAATAACCTGGGTAAAGGCCCTGGGGGAGAAAGAGTCATCGTGGGACATTTGAGTCACTAAGAAGGTTCCCCGGGCTGGAGTGTAGTCAGCGAGGAGGAGGGTGGCCCAGGAGAAGATTGGCTAGGCAGGCGGGCAGGGGCCAAACTTTAGGGGCATAGTAAGGAGTTGGGTTTTAGTCACAGTGCAGTTGAGAGACCTTCGAGGGTTTTAAGTTAAGGAAGTGACATGATCTAAATTAAGTTCAAAAGACTACTATTACATGGAGAACAGACTGTGGGGTAAGACTGTGGGGACTGTAGATGGGAAGAGAACGGTTAGGAGACTCTTCCAGACATGAAGTAATGGCAGCTTGAACCAGAATGGTGCTGCTGAAGATGGAGAAAAGTGGAAGGATTTGAGGTACACTGTAGAAATGAAACTGATGTCATTTGCCTCTGGATTGCTTCGGAAGTGGTGGGGCGTAGT